GTATTCATTTTATCCATGATTAAATCTCAGAACTGCTGTTCTTCAGTACTTACCAAAGCTTCAGCTGAGAGGACCAGCATTTAGGAAGGGTTGCCAAAAGGAAGGGCAAAACAGTTTTTCCTCTGATAATCTAAAATACTATCCCCAGCCTAAAGCAGACCAACAGAGAGCAGCACTTTTTTTTATTTCAAATTAATGAGGGTACAAATGTTTTAGTTTACATTGTTCTCAATTCCAAGGTAAAGTTGAAGTTGTAGAAAAGCCCTTCACCCAGGGGGTGTGCTGAGTACCCTTGCATCATGCACATTAGGCGAGATCCAGCCCATAGCCCTCCCTCTTCCCACCTGTTGCCCTCCCTACTCCCTTCTCCCTCTTCCCCCTTGTTAGACTATATTTGTGTTTTATCTTTTTTATGGGCATGTAATTGTTTATATACTGGAAGCACTCTTAAAATATTTAAAAGTTTCCACTTCCTACTTCTACTGGCTCATCCTTTATAGAACTGTCTTGTTAAAGGGTGTTTTTAGCATCCTGCCATTGGATTACACTAAGGAAGATTACAAGAAGCAACACTATGAAGCTCAAAGGGAAAGTTTCTTTCACATATCAGTGACAGAATCATTGTGCTTTTCCTGTCACCATAAGCAATAACTTTTTTCTCACAATTTCCTGGAGGTAAAATATTAATAAATAGCATATATGTAAGTGTACAATGGGCAAGTTTGGACATACTCTTACAATGTGAAACTATTAGCACGATCATGAAATGAACATGTCCACCTCCGAAAAGTCTCCTCATGTCCCGTTATAATTTCTCCCTTCCACCTCTTCCTCCATTCTTCATTCCTCTGATCTGCCTTCTATCACTACTGATGAGTTTGGTTTTCCTAGAATTTTATATAACGGAAATCATAAAATATGTACTTTCTTTAGTCTGAATTCTTTCATTCAGCATAATTACTTTGAGATTCGTCCATGTTGTGGTGTGTGTAACAGTTGGTTCTTTTTAATTTCTGAGTCATACTCCATTATATGAACATACCACAATTTGTTTATCTATTCCTCTGCTGATGCAAATTTGTGTTGTTTCCCGTTTAGAGTTGTTACAAATAAAACTTCTATGAGCATTTATGTACAATTCTCTGTATGCTTTCATTTCTCTTGAGTAAATACATAGGTGTAAAAGGGCTACATCATACAGGTGTATGTTTAATTTTTAAAGACATATTCACTTTTTCCTCTTTGCATGACAACTCATAAATTTACACCTGAATTTGTAACGCATTTCTAGAAACTATGCCACTCCTCTCAGTATATACTTTTGAAATGCTTAGTTTCTGGCTTTACCTTATTTTTTCTATTTTACGTTTTTCTTTGTCCAGTCTCTCTCATCCTTATTTTCTGCATATTTGTACAAGGCACCTTAAAGTCTGACACAAGGCTTAGAGCCATCAGCAGGTAAAAAATCAGTAAGGGGAATTATGGAATGGAAAAGCTCTGGGTGATGACCAAAAACATGATCTCTAGTCTGTTACTAAAACTTTACATGACCCAAAGCAAACTCGTTCAATACCTTTCTGGTTTTCAACTTTATAATTAATAAACAGAAAGGCTGAGTGTGGTGGCTCACACCTGTAATCCTAGCACTGTAGGAGGCTGAGGTGGGAGGATCACTTGAGCTCAGGAGTTGGAGACCAGCCTGAGCAAGAGTGAGACTCTGTCTCTACTAAAAATGAAAAGTTAGTCAGGCATTGTGGCTGGTGCCTATAGTCCCAGCTACACAGGAGGCTGAGTCAGAAGGATCACCTGAGCCCAAGAGTCTTCCTGTGAGCTAAGCTGATGCCTTGGCACTCTAGCCTGAGCAACAGAGTAAGACTCTGTCTCAAAAAAATAATAAAAATAAACAAATAAACAGAAATTCTGAGTCAAATGAGTTTGGAATTGGGTTCCAGCTCCACTATTCTACACTTATTTCCCCCAAGAGCTCTTTGCTGTATCTGATTCTCTCACAAAGAACCAAAAGAAAATTGTGGTGAATGCTACTTCTCCTCTACCGCTACCAAGAAATTTTTAACTACATTAATTCTGGGCCAAACATAAGCATGTTCACTTGGTTGCCAGGGCTATCAAAATAGGTAGCAAGTTTCTGGATTCAGAACTATAACCCTAGACCTAAAAGAAATCAAGCAGACAGATTTCTGTTCCTTTTATTCACATGGAGAGTCCAGGATAGTGAAGACATGCATGTGCTTTTGGTAATGAAGAAAAAGGCACAGGGAGGAACCACTTATTGGAGAGATCTTTAGGTGACCAAGATCTACCTTTCTCCAGTGCTGAGGTACCAAGAGATCAGGTGACACTTGTTCCCAAAGTCCAGTGAGCCTTCTTCCCCGTCTCTTTCTCTCTAGTGAATGTTCATCATATCTGTGAGCTATATCTAAGCAATCAATATCTAATCTAGAAAATATCACCTTCAACTGTAGAGTCTCAGACAGGGCCATCAGCTCAGTGCCTGGTGAGATCTCCCAAAAGGGGAAAGGTTCATCAGCCTCATGGTGTCATTAAAAGGCAGTCTAACAACATGATGGGCTTGCAAACTGGACACATGTCCTAGAAATATTAACACAATTGTTTGGTAAGGCCCCTAAAATTCTGCTCTTAATAACTCAAAAACTCCTCCCTTACATCATGCATTATTTTTCACTTTAGAAGTATCTGATAACTCTGTTCATTTCTTTAGCCATTTATCATTTAAAGCTTAGAGAGGTATTAGAAAGAAAGGGTCCCTTAAGGGGGATAGGTGGTTAAGTTTAACTTTGCCCTTGTCCCAGTTGTGCCCCAATCAGCAATACAACTCCTCTTGGATAAGCATGACCTCACCTGCACTCTCCTTATTTCCTAAGACTTCTGAGCTTTCCCTGATGATCTATGGAGGCAATACGCAATTTCATAGATCACCCCCTAGTGGCTAGGTAATATGTAACAGACTACCCCACCTCTTTTCTTTACAGTTTGCACAAACACTATGATCTCCCTTTATTTGGAGTGAGGTGAACCTGCAGTGGTGGAGTGGAGGGCTCAAAACTCTTTGACTTGTCATTACATCAGATCAATGGTTTTCAAAATTCGACCCCTGACCAATAGCAACAACATTATCTGGCCTACTGAATCGAGGTTTCTGTAAATAAAAACCAGTTTATAGTCTGAGAACTACTGGCCTAAGCCTTACCTCAAAGGAAAGTTTGCTATACCCTATTATCCTATTTCAAGGTCAGAGGTGCCTTCCTCTCCTATGGAATATACAGTTACCCAGTCTGGCCACATGATGGCAGAGCAATTCTGATATCTTGACAGCAGGGCTACAGGAAACCTCTCTACCCAGAAAATTAGTAGGTTCCTAAAAAGTTCGGGAGAATTAGAAAGCCAAGGTAAAAATTGTTGGAAACAGTAACTTTAAGTTAATCTCAAATATAGAACAGGAAAGTGAGGTTAATCCAAATAACATATTTGAAAAGAAAAACACTGGCTTTGATCAATCAGTTAAAAAATGACTTTCTTCTTCCAATGAAAAGACAGCTTACTACAGGGAATAGCTGGTGTACGAGACAAGAGATGGGCAGTCTCAGCGACTAGGAGGTGAGTCCAGTGGAATATGGGAATAACTTTCATCTCCAAAAAGTCTGATTTTCCAGGTGGAGGACTGAGAGAAGGAAGATGTTCTACCACACCTTAACATTTCTGAAGCCTCTTCAACTGGGAAACATTAAGTACTGAGAGGAAATTGAGGCCATTAACAGCCCCCATCACCATCACTCTTTCCTGTGTTTTAACTTCTACCCTGAGTGAAGGCAATGTCAATTTAAAAGGAAGAGGTACAACATAAAACTTAAAGAGTTTACTTAAAGCCAAGTGAGGACAGCTGCCTAAAAGTAACCTTGGATATGAGCTCCATTCAGCCTTTATTACAAGCAGGTTTTTTAAGGCAAAAAGGGGGAACAGGGAATGGGCTGATACAAAGTTGTCTGTATTTGCATTAGTTTACAGAAATGACATTGATTATTAATTGGCTACATACATTGTTAAGCTATAGTGTATGGGTTATAGTGTTTGGTGCAGCAATGTCAGGTTAATTTAGAGCTACTTCTAGCAATAGGACTCAGTTTGAAGAGATGAATGCAAAGCCAAAGGGAGGAAGTTGGATGTGATTGCTGTCTCATTTTAATACCTCTTTAGACCTGATAATTAAAAAAAAAAAAACATATTTCTCAGATAAAATTTATTTTCCTTTCTCAACAAGAAGTGCTTTTTTTTTTTTTTTTTTTTGAGACAGAGTCTCAAACTGTCACCCTGGGTAGAGTGCTATGGCATCACAGCTGACAGCAACTTCAAATTCTTGGGCATAAGTGATTCTCTTGCCTCAGCTTCCCAAGTAGCTAGGACTACAGGTGCCCACCAGGACACCAAACTATTTTTTGGTTGTAGTTGTCATTGTTGTTTTGCAGGCCCTGGCCGGATTCGAACCTGCCAACTCTGGTGTATGTGGCTGGCACCCTAGCTGCTGAGCTACCGGTGCCAAGCCAAGAAGTGCTTTTTGTTTTGCTTTGTTCTACTTTCTAAATTACTCAGACTCCCACCATGACCAGGTGGAAAATCTGGGCAGGAAATTCCATCAATGAGGAAAGGGCAAAGTACAAAAAGTATTATGAAAATCACATCCTCTGTTATCACTGAAGTTCAGAATATTCTGGCTTCTTTTTCTTTTTTTTTTTTCTTCCAAGACAGAGTCTCACTATGTCTCCCTTGGTAGAGTGCCGTGACGTCACAGCTCACAGCAACCTCAAACTCCTGGGCTCAGGCGATTCTGTTGCCTCAGTCTCCCAAGTAGCTGGGACTACAAGAGCCCGCCACAACGCCCGGCTATTTTCTGTTGTAGTTGTCATTGTTGGTTAGCTGGCCGGGTTCGAACCCGCCACCACCTTCGGTGGCTGGTGCCGTAACCACTGTGCTACGAGCATGGAGCCAATATTCTGGCTTCTTAATTAAAAGCTGAAGGTTTGAGTGGAGTGAGGAAAGAGCAAGTTGATGGACTGATGTAAATGAGGGCCCTGGAGCTACACAGCTCAGGTTATTTTGAGGGTGTAAACAGAAGGAGGAAGATCACTTTCTCCACCTTTAACATCACCAAGAGGTAGACCAGAGGCTCCAATGACCACCCTAAGGGACATAGGATGAGGCCAAGTTAGGGTAATGAGAAAACTCTAAAAAGGTTTTTTTCCCCAGACTTATACTACCTACTATCCTTTTGCTTCATGTCTTCTCCCAGATAATCCCCCTGGGGATTCAGCAACCCGGGATTTATTGATTTCCCACACCATAGAGCACGCGGGAGAGATTCTGAGGAGGCAAGAAAAGCAGAGGCCTAAGTCCCGGAAAGCTCACTTAGTCACCGTACTACAGAAAATCAACATGAGCTCCACTACGCCACTCCATACTGTGGCCCCAAATCTTGGCTTGACACGTCCCACTGAGTACCGGTGAAGCCTGGAAATGGATCGCCCCTGCTCAGCCCCACATGGGAATCTCAGGCTTCAGCCCCCAGCCTGGCCGGGCTGCGGGGTATGGTCACCCCCAGGCGCCTGTGCGCCCGGTGCAGCTTCCAGTGCGTGAGGAGATTGGTCTTCTGACTGAAGGTCTTGCCACACACCTCGCAGCAGTAGGGCTTCTCGCCGGTGTGCACCCTGCGGTGTGTCAGAAGGTAGGAGCGGCTGCTGAAGCTCTTGTCGCAGTCACCGCAGCGGTAGGGACGCTCGCCCGCGTGCGCCCTCTGGTGGATGATGAGGTGCGAGCTCTGGCTGAAGCCCGTCCCGCAATCCCGGCATTTATAGGGCTTCCCATCAGGGGTGTGGACGCGCCTGTCCATGCTAAGGCTGCACTGCAGACGCTCCACCGGCTTCTCCCCGCTGTGGCTAAGTCCGTGGAGGTTGAGGTTGGAGGGGTGGCTGAAGCCCTTGCCGTACTGCAGGCACAGATAAGCCTTGGGCAGGTTTGGGGAAGAAAGTGGTTGCGAGGGAAGGTTGATGGCAGCACAGGGACGCAGCATCTTGCCCTCCAAGGTATACCAGTAGGGAACCTTATCACCAGGCTCCCCAGAGGCCTCGACCCCGCTGGGCAGGGCTGAGGAAAGGAGTCGCTGAAGGGCTCCGGCCTCACAGCTCTCCACTGGTGGGGTGGGGGCTTCACGCACATCACCTGCAGGGGGTGAAACAGAGGCCAGGATTAGAGATGTATGGGAATGGACAAGAGGGCAGATCTGGAGATCTGTCCCCTAGTGTTGACGCTATTTTTGACTCATTGGGCAAATCACTCAATATCTATAAGTTTTTTTCCTCATCTGTAAAATGGAGAAAACACGACATACTAATAGGTCTGTTAGAATGATTAAGTGGCCGCTCAATAAATGTTTGCTTCATGGAACACCTGGAAAAGTAAAGGAATAAAGGGATACGCATATTCACGGTATTCACCATACTTCAAAGTAAGTGACCTAGCTTCTCGCCAGAAACACAATTTTTTAAAAAAGTATAAAGTTCTTTCTACTTGTATTTACTAGGCTCAAATTCCTAATTCTGTTTAATTATGTGGAGGGGGACTACTAGAATGGCTGAGTGAAGCACACAGCAAATAACCTTATGAAAAAAGCCATAATAAAACTGGACAAACTGTCGCAAACAGCCATGCAAAAACTCTGGAAATTATCTAGAGGTATCTAACAAATTAAGAAATGTTTATTCGAAAGTATTTCCTGAGCTTTAGCAAAAATAGTAAGACTGTGGCATTTTTAACCTGGACCTGTTCCTATGTCCACCCAACTCCTTGGCCTCAAAGTTCATCCAGGAAAGGACAGGCCAAAAAGATCATCAGGAAAGGGTTGACTTTATTTGGAACAGAACAGAGAAAATTCCAAGCACAGGAAATTGTCAAAAACAACAGCAATCTCAGTGGCAACCAATCAGGAAAGGCAATACCATCAGCTAGCCTGAGGGCTACACACTGATTGAAGGAAGCAACAAACCTGAGAACAGCCAGAAATTTAACAGGGAGATCTGGAGAATAAGACATTCAAAGTGGCTCTGGATAACATTCTGTATATCCATAGTGATCTGGAAGGCTGTGAACATAGTGCAAGACTATACACACTAGCAAACTGCTCATCTTTGGGCTGAACATGAGACCCTGCAAACACAGAAAATAAAAGCCAAGACAAACCAAATTTTGAATGCATTCACCAAGACACAGATCCATCAATAAAAGGAAAACAACTTAACCACCTCAAAGTATTTAAGCACAACCCTAACCAATCTTTGGCTAACTAATAAACTATGTTGACACAGGGGTGACCTCTAAGAAGTGAGCCTTAAAAATGAAAACAAGAATTTAAAAATACTGTGGCCAAAACAAAGTAATAAGACCCTGCAAAATTAGCCTAGGAAAGTCACTGAACAAATAAATAGCAACAATCACCACCCTTAGAGAAAATCAGAGTCGGATTTGCTATATTATTTAAAATGTCTAGTAATCAACAAAAAGTTCTGAGAAATGCAAAAAAGAAAAGTGTGACTCATATATAAGAAAATAACAGTCAACAGAAACCGTATCTGAGGATGCCCATCAGTAAGCTGTAGCAGGCAAAGATCTCAAAGAAGCTATTATAAAAATGTTCAAAAACCTAAACAATTAAAGAGGTTTTTAAGTATGATGACAATGTCTCATCAAATAGAAAATATCAAAAAATAAGTAAAATTATTAAAGAACCAAGTCAAAAGGCAGAGATTGTCAGACCACTACTAAAAATTCAATTAGAGGGCAGCACCTGTGGCTCAGGGAGTAGGGTACTGGCCCTGTATAACAAGGGTGGCAGGTTCAAACTTGGCCCTGGCCAAACTACAACAAAAACATAGCCAGGCTGGGTGTTGTGGCCGGTGCCTGTAGTCCCAGCTACTTGGAGGCTGAGGCAAGAGAACCACCTAAGCCCAAGAGCTGGAGGTTGCTGTGACTTATGATGCCACTGCACTCTGCCAAGGGTGTCAAAATAAGACTCTGTCTCTAAAAACATAAAAAAGAAAAAAAGAAGAAAAATTCAATTAGATCCTATCTACAAAAGATAAACTTTATAGTCAAACATACAAATGGCTAAAAACAAAAAATTGAAAGGAAACCATGCAAACAATAATGATAAGAGAAGCAGAGTGACTACAGGGTAGCCATAAAGTTTATGTGCAATTTAAAATAGTTGCCTATTTTATGGCTACCCTGTGTATCAATGTTAGACAAATAGATTTTCTTTTTGAGACAGTCTCACTATGTCACCCTTCATAGAGTGCCATGGCGTCACAAGCTCACAGCAACCTCAAACTCTTGGGCTTAAGCGATTCTCTTGCCTCAGCCTCCAGTTTACCTGGCACTACAGGCACCCACCACAACACCCAGCTATTTTTTGCTGCAGTTGTCATTGTTATTTAGCTGGCCCAGGCCAAGTTCAAACCCGCCACCCTCAGCGTATGTGGCTGGCGCTGTAACCACTGTGCTACGGGTGCCGAGCCGACAAATAGATTTTGAAATAAAAAATGTCAGTAGAAAAAGAGGGGCATTTGATAATGTTAAAAAGGTAAATTCATCAGGAGGATTAACAATTATAAACACATACACACCTAACAACAGAACTCCAAATTCATGAAGTAAAAACTGATAAAATCAAAGGGAAGAACGAACTTCCAGTTCTGAAATGCAGTATAGAAGCAAACTGGCTTAACCATCCCCAGAAGAAAACCAAAAACAGGCTCGGCGCCTATAGCTCAACCGGCTAAGGCGCCAGCCACGTACACCTAAGGTGGCGGGTTCGAATCCCCAGCCCGGACCCGCCAAACAACAATGATGGCTGCAACCAAAAAATAGCCGGGCGTTGTGGCGGGCGCCTGTGGTCCCAGCTACTTGGGAGGCGGAGGCAGAAGACTCGCTTGAGCCCAGGAGTTGGAGGTTGCTGTGAGCTGTAATGCCACGGCACTCTACCCAGGGGGACAGCTTGAGGCTCTGTCTCAAAAAAAAAAAAAAGAAAACCAAAAACAAATACACAATGCTGAGATTTTCACCAGCAACCACCCAAAACTCAGCTAAGAATATGAGACAGTTCCTGGAGCCACAGAGAAGAGGAAAAACTCCAAGCAGACAGTAAGAGAATCAGACTTTCTCCTCCATGACATTACTCTCCCCGCTTCTCCCCAGCACCAAGCATGCAGAAAAATATCCCCCCAAATCATGGTTTCTACACTAGAAAAAATGGCATTGAGGTAGGTGGTCAATCAGGTTACCTACCATCTTGGGGTCCCTGGCTGGCGGCCTGTCTTTTCCTTAACTCCTAGGAAGCTGTATGACTGCCTGAAGGGAGATATAGCCCTCAGGACAGGCAGAGGCAGGGGGGAGGTAGGAATACCATCTGCATCCCTAGAAACTCTGCTCCATAACCCTGTAAATGCTAAGACCATTCTTCAGTCTAGAAGAGAAAAATACTAACAGGCAAACAGAAAACTTTTCAAGGTATAAAACCCACTGGTAAAACTAAGTATATGGACAAACCCACAATACTCTGTTACTGTAACTGTAGTGAGCAATCATTATAGGTTTTCCCGAAAGTCTCCATATATAGGGAAAACAGAAAATTGTACCTTAATTGTACCTTTACTTGCATTAAATATTCATTTTAAAAGGTAGCCAACCCCTAGAGTATATTTTGTAATGAATATTTTGTAAATAAAGGTACATTTAAGTTACAATTTCCCACTTTCCCCTATGTATGGTGACTTTTGGGATACCCTATAGTATGAAACCCAAAAGACAAATCTATCAAAACAATTATAGCTACAGCAACCTGTTAAAAGATAGGTAATACAATAATATGTAAAATGATGCAAATAAAAATCAAAATATGGGGGATAGAGGTAAAGTATACAAGCTTTTATGAATTTTGCCTTTGTTTATTTGTTCTTTTCCTTGTGACCTAAGAGGCCATCTCTTTAAAATAATATGTTGTATCTATAAGACATTTTTTGTAAGCCTCATAGTAACTGGAGCACAAAACAAATGATAAATTAACCAAAAATAAAAATCAACAATTTAAAACATATTACCAAAGAAAATCACCTAAACACAAAGAAAGACAGTGATTTCATAAAGACAATGAGTAGAATGGTGGTTACCAGAGGCAAGGAAGTGGGAATGGGAACAGGGATACGGTGAGGGAAATAAACACAATCTCTAGTTTAAAAAAAAAAAATTTAAAGAGGTTTTCCAAGAATAATTATTTGCATTTGTTCCTGATGATGTATATAATTTTATACAAATGCTGTTCCAGAAAAAAATGACTGACTTTATGTTACATAGAACAATCAAATGTTGTGGTTTACAGATTTTTTTATATTTATTTTAAATTATTTCACCTGCCGGCAGTTCAGTCCATATTACCTTATTATCTGCACATTTAGATTAAAACACTTCTGGTCATTATTCAGGAAAAAATAAAACAGTAAGCCATTTATAACTCAGTTTGCATTTATATACCAGGTTAGCCTGCCCATGATCTAGCAGAATCCTGAAAGGATCAGACAAGTTTTGTTAAAAGATCATCAGTGTTTTGTAGTTTTCAGTGTGGAAGATTTTTGCTTCTTTGGTTGAGTTTATTCCTAAGTATTTTATTCTTTTTGATACTATTGTAAATGAGACTGCTTTTTTCATTTTCATTCTTGATTATTTGTTGTTAATATATAGAAACATAACATTAATTTTGTATTTTTCAATTTACTGAATTTGTTTACTAGCTTTAACAGGTGTTGTTGTTGTTGACACAAATAGAAAGATATTCTGAGGTGGGAAAAATAGATAATTCAATAATACATAATAACTGCAGACTTCAATATCCCACTATCAATACTGGATGCAATGACAAGACAGAAAACCAGTAAGGATTTAGAATACTTAACACTTTCAAACAACTTCACCTGATAAAGAACACTCCACAAAAACAATAGAATACACATTTTTCTCCAGTGAACACAGAGCTAAAACTTTAGAAGGAAATCTTCATGACTTAGTTTAGGCAAGGATTTTTTAGATTTGATACTAAAAGCATAAAGTGAAAAAAAAGAAAAAGAAATAACTTGGTCATTATCAAAATTAAAACCTTTTGCACTTCAAGAGATAACATCAAGAAAATTAAAGGTTACCAAATGAGAGAAAATGCTTGTAAATCATATATTGAATAAGATACTTGTATCAGGCTTAGCACCTGTGGCTCAAGTGGCTAAGGCACCAGCCACATACACCTCAGGTGGAGGGTTCGAATCCAGCCCGGGCCCACCAAACAATGATGGCTGCAACCAAAAAAAATAACCAGGCATTGTGGTGGGCGCCTGTGGTCCCAGCTACTTGAGAGGTAGAGGCAGGAGACTCGCTTGAGCCCAGGAGTTGAAGGTTGCTGTGAGCTGTGATGCCACGGCGCTCTACCCAGGGGGACAGCTTGAGGCTCTGTCTCAAAAAAAAGATACTTATATCCAAAACATATAAAGAATTTCTTAAATTTAATAAAATGAATACCAATGACCCAGTTTTAAAATGGGACAATTTGAAAAGACCCTACAAAAAAAGGTATGCAAATGACTAAAAAGCACACGAAGATGTTCCACATCATTAGTCATTAGGAAAATAAAAACTAAAATGCAATGAAAAATAAAAGATCTAAAATGAAACTACAACCATCTCATTCCACTTAACAAGGGTTGACAAGAATGTGGAAAAACTGGATCCCTCACATATTACTGATGAAAATGTAAAATAATGCAGCCACTGGGGAAAACATTTTTGGCAGTTTCTTAAAAGGTACTATTCCAACTTTATGAAATGTCCAGAACAGGAAATTTTAGAGACAGAAAGTAAGATAGCAATTGCCTGGGGCCATGGATGGGAACAGAGAGTGAGTATAAATGGTCATAAGGGATCTTTTAGGGGTGATAGGAATAGTCTAAAGTTATATTGTGCTGATGATTTTCAATTTACTCAAAATCATTAAGTTGTATACTTACAATGGTTTGTAGGTTATGACTCCACAAATTATTTTTCTAAGAATTATTCCTACAGTCCTTTTTAACACTAACATTCCATAACTTGAGCAAGTAGAATGAGTCACCAGGAAGCAGGATGCTTGCTCTGGATGAGTACATTGGCCTTGGGAGTAGAATGGTAAAGAAATATCAACTGAAGATTGAGACAACATGTAATCTAGGAATTGATGGATCCACACAAAAACCATTGGAAGTTGATATAATTCTCCATATCACCATAGTCAGAGGCTGGATAATGAAGCTATCCCAAACCAGAAGCTGATGCACAATGTTTACTATCTGGCTGTGGAATATGTTCTTCCTTACACACGAGTTCTGATATTTGGGGACCAATATTATTTTAAAAATGGCAAAGTCCCACCAATTGTCCCTTGGGAAATGGCCTGATTTTCATATGCAGCCCTATCTTCATGAACACTGCTCACACATTTCCTGCACTTAAATAAGTTATTTAACTCTTTAATTACCAAGATCTTTATTCCTTGGTTCAAGGTCCTGCTAAACCACAGGATGCAAAATAAAAAGCGAGAGAGATGCTAAAGTCAACATGATATAATCATAAAAAACAGAGGACATATTCAAGTGAATTTAGAAGAAAGATTTTCTATGACATACTTTTCCCTAAAAATTACTCCAATGTCAGCTTTAGCTTATATTTAGTGAGGAAAGAGGAAATATAACTTAAAAGATGAGAGTTAAAGTTCTGGAGTCAGATTGCCTGAGTTCAAATCCCAGCTCTATCAGTGACTTATGCTGCAATTTCCATACAGTATTTTACCCCTTTTGCAATTCGGTTACCCTATCTGAAAAATAAGGATGATGATAATAATATCTAACTCATAGGATAAATTTAAGTATAAAATGAATTAATATGACTAAAGGACTTGGGATAATTCTTCACAGATAATAAGTACTACACAAGTGTTTGCTACTATACCACAACCTAAAGTATGTTGAGGTAAGATATTCTCAGATATATTAGAAAAAAGTCTTGAGCCAATTTGATGTTTCTTATAAAAGTCATGATAAAACACATTCCAAAACCAAATAAACTACTTTTTTTAATTTTTTGTTATTTCGTCTTATCCATGTCTTAAGGTATCTTTGCAATTATTCCCTTCCATTAAATGAAGACCAGAGAAGTGGTTGCATATAAACTCTATCTAATATGTATCATTTGGTTTTGAGTTCTTCTAAATATTCTTTCTCCTCTGGGACTCTCAAGCAAAAAATAAGAGCAAAATACATATATAACAATATATACCAATAACATGCATAGATAGATACCCTCTATAAATAAGGATGGGATGGGTACCTGGAGTCTCTCAGGAGGCTAGTGCAGGATGATAGGGCCAGGCGTGTCTATGACTATGGAACTCTTTCTAACTGTTTAACAATAAAAAGTCATCAAACCTGACTCTCCTCTTCCTTAGTCCAAGGCATAAACACGTACTCAAAAAGATCCGTGCACACACACATACCATGTAGGAAGATAATCTATATATTTACCATTCAGGAGATATGATTTCAGATGTGTGGCCTATCAGTGAACCTGCCACACTGTCAGTAACTGACAGTTAGCACACTGTCAGTGACCAGTAGGTGCTAACAATGCTAAATAAAACAGAATGTACCTGCAGCAGTCCTGAAGCCTCATCCCCTTATCACCTGCCAATGACAATACCAGAGCTTTCTGGTTTGATATTATTAAGACAGAAAAAACTTTTCCCCAAACTTCCTCCAACACTCAAACTAAACTAACTTATGTGGGCTTTAAAAAAATCACCAAAATGTCAAAAATTATATAGAGTTTGGAATATAACATCCAAGTTTAAGTGAACATCAAAATACTACTGGTTATCAGTGCCAAAAAATACATAAATATAAGAGTTAATATTAGTAGCCAGTTTGATTTAAAGAGCCTCAGAAATTGACTGTAATTGTAGTCTCTCCTCCTATCACTCTAACCTTCTCATTCTTGGAGACATTTTGGGCTATATAAAAAAGATTGACATTGTCTCTAGACCTGTATTAAACTAACTTTTAAAAAGTCTGTGAGGGGCTAGGCACCCATAGCTCAGTGGTTAGGGCACTGGCCACATGCTCTAGGGCTGGTGGTTTGGGACCTGACCCAAGCCTACTAAACAGACAAACAAACAAAAAAAAAAAAAAAAATAGCTGGGCATTGTGGCGGGTGCCTGTAGTCCCAGCTGGTAGGGAGGCTGAGACAACAGAATTGCTTAAGCCCATTGTTGAGGTTGCTGTGAGCTATGACACCACAGCACTCTACCAAAGGTGACAAACTGAAACTATCTCAAAAAAAAAGCCTATGAGGAATATATCAAAATGCAAAGAGAAGTTATATCTGGGTGGTGGTATTATGGGTATTTTTAAACTTTTTATACTTTGTGTTCTTGCAACTTTTCTATAATGAACAGAAATTACATTTTTAATGAGAAAAATGTTTTATTTTTCAAAAATTTACAAGGCTATCTAGAAGAGAAAGAAAAAAGTACTCTGTCTCTCTTATACCCATAGAACAAATCCCAATCTACTTCACACTCCAAATGACATCTTTCTCAGGACATGCTCAGAAAACACATACACAATTCCAGGACACAATACATCTCATAAGTACTTGCTAAGTGAACAAACAAAGCAAGAACTGGAACACAATATGATCTGGACGTTAAGGATGTAAGGTATGAGTCTATTTCAAGGACTCAGCTATAGCTATAAAGTACACCTAAATCCTGCAGATAAGAAGCCACATGAGGCAACGTGGGACACTGATGAAGAAGGACAGTTCCAGGGTAAGAGGTATACATGACATAGGCCTTCTAGAGTAGGAACTGATGATGGGAACAGAAAAGGGCAGAAGGGTATGGCTGACAAAAATAATATCCCAACGAATTAACTGGATGAGTACATTGGGTAAGAGGATGTATGAGTAAGGATGGGAAAATAAAGAATAAATTTGATTTTTCTCTCACCACTCCCTTCCCCAAATACTGAACACCCATCACAATCTCCCTTCTGCTCAGTTTACACTTTGGATCCAGCACTCTCACCTGCAGAAAAGGTTGGAATGAGGCCCAGTTCAGGAGATTTTGGAGCATCAGGGATCCATGGCTCCTCACCTTGCTCCAGCTGTGAGATCAGCTTAGGTTTAGGAAACAGGAGTCCTGTGAGATCAAGAAGATGAAGAATTTCTTACTGAACTACCTACAGTGATTCTTCCCTGTATTCTCTGAGCCACGACACACTAAAAGACAGAATTCACACAGCCATTCTTCAACTAATGTAACTCCACTTTGTGACTACCACCCCCTCCACCAGCTTAACCCACCCCCATATATCTTACATACATGTATGTCCACTTTACTCCCAAAATTCTAGAATTTCTTCCAATGGAACATAAAGTGTCATGAGAGATGAGGCCGCCTGCAAAGGTAGGATTGGGCCATGTAGTTCATTGATTTTGTTTAACTCCAATTTTTGTAACCATTCTCACACTCTCAAGCAGACAAAGAATGGTCTATTTATCATCATCAATTGAATCTACCTCCCTTGGAGTCTTTGCTGTCACCCCTTCCTCCACCGGGAATGCCTTCATTGTTTCCCAATTTCTCCATAGTTAATTATTTATGCTCATGTTTCAAGTTCTACTTCCCTTTTCCACAAAGCTATCCTTGACTACCTCACATCATATAACATCTTCCACCTGATTCTCAAGCTATCCATGGCAAAGGACCATGAGTTTTGTTTTGTTTCATTGTTTTGCTTAATAACATGTGTCCACTGATCATGGGTTGGAAGCTATGGCAATGTCAAGTTACTATAAAAGTTTTAATGCTTTCTCTCAGTTTATGTACTTATCCTATCAGCCCACAGACTACAAAGGTGCTGAGTGTGGAATTTTTCACTGTAGTATCGTGTCAGCACTCAGAAACTTTTGAATTTTTGAGCATTTCGGATTTCAGATTTTCAGATTAGGGATGCTCAATCTGTCCACTCCAAAAACATACTGCATTATCAAGCCACTCCATTCCACAGACTGTCACACTTAGCTCTAGAACATTCATACAACCTTAAACATATTCAGTCTTCTATGTTCAACAGGTGGTTTTTCTGTATAGACCTTTGTCCCGCCAGACAGAAGCTAGCCTGCCCCACCCCAAAAGGTAATGTGCATAGGCTAACTAATAGTGAACCCATCGGGGTTGATAGAGGAAATTTGGGATTAGAAGGAAAATGTAATAGAAATCAACTAAATCCCTCTATTAAAACCTTGATACCAATATTAGAAAGATAATACTGAACTGGTAAATTAAGGATCTGACTAAAGTTGTTACAGCTACCAGCTTCTTTGACCTATACAGCCTTAATCTCGTCATAGCACCTATGAAAATTCATGCCCATAACAGGAGTAAATAAGTACCCAAAGACTGACTAACTCAGAAGTCTTCATCTCCCCAACTGGGATCACATCTCCCACTCAAAGTTCTATTTATTTTATACAACTCATTAATGTACCTAGATTTCCAATTATATCTCCTGAGACTATTAAGGAAACAAAAATGTTTGCAATAAAAATTTAATGGCTCATGCCTATAATCCTACACTCTGGAAGGCTAAGGAAAATGGATTGCTTGAGCTCAGGAGTTCAAGACCAACCTGAACAAGCTCAAGACCCCATCTCTAAAAATAACCAGACATTGTGGCAGGCACCTGTAGGCCCAACTACTTGGGAGGCTGAGACAAGAGGGTCACTTTAGCCCAAAAGTTTACGGTTGCTGTGAGCTATGATGCTTATGGCACTCAACCCCTGGGCCACTAAGTGAGACTCTATCTCCAAAAAAAAAAAAAAAAGGAACAGGAAGAAAGAAGTGTTATATGCATTTGGATGTGAGTGGAAAGTTCCATGGCTAAGAAGGTAGTGAGAAAGACAAAGAAAAGAGGAGGAAGTGTAAAGAAAAATAAGAAAAGAGGAAATAAGGAGGAAGAAAATGAAGAAGAGAGGAAAGATGAGAAAGGCAATGCGGGTAGGAAGGATGGATGTTTCAGAAGAAGGCAATACAAGTGAAAGCACGCTCTATAAGTGTGGCAACTGGTGACAACTTGTTTCTGCCAATGAATTTGTTGACTCTGATCTGACAAAGGTCAACTGAAACTCCCAAAATTTTTATTATAATGGATTTGACCTGGACTCCTGAATATCTTTAACAAATTAAGGAATACTGCTGCTTTAAAATAGTCTAGACTTCTAGAAAGAATTATATGGAGTTACTTCTCACAGTTCTAAGAGCTCTGATATAAATATTTTCAATTTCTAGGAAGTTCTTTAAAAGTAATACAGGTTTGGCTCAGCACCTGCAGCTCAGCAGCTAGGGCGCCAGCCACATGCACCAGGGCTGGTGGGTTGGAACCCGGCCTGGACCTGCTAAACAACAATGACAACTACAAGAAAAAAATAGCCAGGCATTGTGGCGGGTGCCTGTAGTCCCAGCTACTTAGGAGGCTGAGGCAAGAGAATTGCTTAAGCCCAAGAGTTTGAGGTTGCTATGAGCTATGATGCCACAGCATGCTACCTAGGGCAACATAATGAGACTCTGTCTTAAAAAAAAAAAAAAAAAAAAAAAGCAATACAGGTTTAATATCCCTTATCCAAAATGCCTGGGTCAGAAAATGCTTTAGACTTTTTTTTTCAGATTTTCGAATATTTACACAGACTGCACATGATGTTATCATCTTGGGAATGAGACCCAAATCGAAACATGAAATTAATTAATGTTTCATATACACTTATATATATAGCCTAAAGATAATTTTATGTAATATTTTTGATAATTTTGCATATAAAACAAATTGTGGGTACACTGAACCATCAGAAAGCAAAGGTGCTGAGTGTGGAATTTTTCACTGTAGTGTCATGTCAGCACTCAGAAACTTTTGGATTTTTGAGCATTTGGGATTTCAGATTTTCAGATTAGGGATGCTCAATCTGTCCTGACCAAAAACATACTGCATTATCAAGCCACTCCAACTTCAATTAACCCCTGCTCAGTATCCTCTGCTTTGGGGATGGTCAGTGAGGATGATGTCATTATACATATACATAGTGCTAAGAATCTATGTATGGTTTATGAAGAATTCTGAAATAGGGAAGGGAAAGGAAGCCTCACCCACAGAAGTCAGATTTCTGTAGTTCTCCCACATGACATCCCTGTAGAGGGCCCTCTGTGCGGAGTTCAGACATCCCCACTCTTCCTGGGAGAAACTCACTGCTACCTCCTCAAATGTCAGTGGCAGTCCCTGGTATGGCATGAGAGCCCAAGAGTGAGATCCATAAGATACTCAAAGATAAGAAGGGACACAAAAGCACGGAAGGAGCAGCAAAACACAAAGATACAGAGGGAAGGATGACATGAGAAGCAGACAAAGGCAGAGTGACCTAGAGAGAATATGGAACCAAATGTAGGGAGTATAAATAAAATGCCCAGCACTGCTCAGTAAATATAAATACAGTATCTAGAATCAATATGGCATTTAAACAGAAAAGTAAGTTCTCCTGGTCCAATTCCATCATTTTGGAGATGAGAAAACAAAGTCCTGAAGTGGCTAAAATGTGCCTAAAGTCACACAGCTACCAAGTGGCAGTGTCAGAATTAGAACCCAGGTCTCCTTCGGCTCAGCAAAGTTCTCCAGCCATTGTGCTCCTGTTCCCTCTACTTGTTGAATGAACAAATGAATGAATTCTTCTTATTCAGTTTCATCATGAGACTTCAGTCAAAGCCATGGATTAAAGAGAAAAGAAGGGCCAAGCTTGTGAGAATTGAATAAAGGAAAAGAGATGGCCCAAAAAGCAAAAAAAGGAAAACAAACACACAAAGTGATCACAGCGGTGAGGAAAATGAAAATGCTGTAGGGGGAAGTCAGGAGGCTACATTCTCACCTGAACTCCAGGTGCACAGTGTATGGATGCCATGGTTAATCTGTGGAGGGGGAAGAAAGGAGAAAGTTAAGCTGAAGGCAGGCCCACTTTGAGCCCTCCACTCCATTCTACCTCCCTGAACCTGACACCCAAGAACTATGTCCCAAACTCACACCCTGCCCTTGCCCTAAAAAACCACTGGCTCTCTTTTTGAACTTCCATTGCCCTGTCCCACTGCTTCTTCCTTCCAGCCTCTCTTGTCTGAAACTCCCTACCTTAATTTCCCCAGTCCCAAAAGACCTACTCTCTCAGGTGTGTCCCCAGCCCCTGATGGTATCTTCTACCAAGAGGTATCCTTCTTCCCTTGCGTTGCAAAGGAAGTGACTGAGGAGTTGGGGAGGGAGGGCAGGAGTTGGCTGGAAGAGAAAAGAAGGAGACGAAGAGGAGGTAGAGGCAGGCTGAACCACTGGGTAAAGACAAAACAAAAAAGGCGATGCCTGTGGCTCAAAGGAGTAAGGCGCAGGTCCCATATGCCAGAGGTGGCGGGTTCAAACCCAGCCCCGGCCAAAAACCGCAACAAACAACAAAAAGACAAAACAAAAGGCCCCAGGGGAGAACTCACCAGTTCACAAGGAAAACCATGTATGTACTTCCTAGGCCAGCCTGTTTTCAGAGCTTGGAGCAGTCTGTGCAGCCTGGTCCCCTGCCTCACTCTCTTCCTCAGGATCTCTGGGATTCACAGATCAGTGTCCCAGGGAGGGCTTGCAGAGCTGAATGGGTTGAGGTCTCACACAGGGGACAGGAAAGGGCTGTAGGATACTGGAGTAGATACAGAGCAAAGGCTCCTGCTATCCAGGAAATGGGAGTGGCTGAGACTTTCTGCCTCTCTAGGGTGTGTGCTCTCACTGGTCTTAACTCTTCCCAGTCAGGAACAATTAGGAAAGGGTGGGAAGAGGAAAGAAATAAGTGAGAAAAAGGGAGAGAATTCTAATGAAACAGGGCTATTGAGAAACAGAGGCCTTGGGCCCCGCCCCCACCCCCCAGCCATAGGTAAAGGAAGAGAAGCTGACCTGGCTTGCTGTCCCAAATATTCCTGACTCCTCTGGGTGCTGAGAAAAACAGGAGGTGCAGTCTCAGTGCAGACAGACTTCAGGCTTCACCCTCAGCCCTCTTTTTTTTTTTTGGCTAACCCCACATTCTTCTTTCAAGTCTGTGAGCAATGATCAAGGTCCCACATGTTCCCTATTCTAAATATTCCTCAAGATCCGGTAAACTCCCTTTGTCTTCCTCCTCCACTCAGCATCTTAATCTTCTTCATCCTCCCTCACTCTCACCCAACCCCCCACCATTTCCATCCTCCCTCCCCCATGAACCTCCCTCGACTGTCTCATACCCTGCTGGAAAAGGCAATATTATCAATCTGCCTCATCAACCATAGCCACTTCCTGGATGCTTCCTCTTCCAGAAGCATGGACTGATGATGTCACCTGCTAGGAGTCTGGAAAGCCAATTAGACGCAATGCTGAAAAGCAACAGGGGGCAGGGACAGGAGGCTGGGATAGCAGCCTACAAATGGTCTCCATTATACTTTAAAAAGGGTAGAAGCATGGCACATGGGGGATGAGGAGGGGGAAACAAAAGCTACATCACCTCTCTCCCCGTTTTTGGAGAACCCAGGTTGCTTCAGTCTCAGCATGCCTAGAATGTGACTAATAACAAAGTGGTCAGTGACCAGGTCCACAGAAGTGCCTGACATACCAAAACTGACTTCACAAAAGCTGATTTAGAGCCAAAGTAACAACAGACTACTTCTGAATAGACAGAACATCTGGTCTAAGTAATAGAATCAGTTTTGCAATCACTGTCTTCAGGAAACCAAATAATAAGTCAAAAGGTACGTTAAAAACAGAGAAAAGAACACAATTAAGGGCTCTGTCTACCTAAGGCCTCTTGATGAACCTAAACAAACCTTTTTTTTTTCTTTTTTTGCTTTTTTGAGACAGAGTCTCTCTCAGTCTCCCTGGGTAGAGTGCCATAGCATCATAGCTCACAGCAACCTCAAATTCTTGGGCTCAAGTGACCCTCTTGCCTCAGCCTCCCAAGAAGCTGGGAATATAGGTGCCTACCACAATAACAACTATTTTTCTGTTTTAGTAGACATAGGGTCTCATTCTTGCTCAGGATGGTCTCAAACTTCTGAGCTCAAGGAATCTGCCTACCTCAGCCTCCCAAAACATTTTCCACAACAACAATATGAACCTAAGGACTGGAACTTATTTTCCAAACTACTATTCTCTCCTTTTTTTTTTCTGTTGATGACATACCTGGGAGCTTTCTTTACTCTTTATCTCCCACCCCAACCTGCTACTGATATAGCCTTTGCTATCTGGGCCTTACTCCCCATTCACATAAATGAAAATAGAACATAGCCCTGCAAACTCTAAACATTCTTGACTCCAAATGTAAAAAAAAAAAAAAAAAAAAAAATTGTACTAGGCAATCATGATACCTCTTCTTTACTACCATGCAACATTTAGGAAACTTTCTATAGCAATCATTATATTAGTCATAGAACTTTTTCAATACACGTTGGTCATTGTCATTTTAATGTCCATTCAGCTTCCAAACACATGTAATTTGAGAAATGGAGTTTACATAGATGGTTTTATATCATTGATGCCACATAGGAATTTTGTGCTCAGTAACATTTGTTAGACAGAATTGAATGAATGGAGGAAGACTCTTCTGGGTGGAGGACTTGTAAGGCTTTGCACCAGCATAAACTTGGAGACAAAGCCTTGAGATTAATACAAGATTCACCCCAAGTGGGAATGAGTATGCAGACCATATACTGTTCAGACAATCACCATTATGGATATCCTGGTAGTGGGATGAAGGCATTGTAGAGTTACTCTCCTGCATTATGGAAAGAGAGAACCTAAAACAGAAATTATTATTGAAATAAAGACTAATTTTCTTCTACATAGTAAGGCTTTTAAGTCTTCCTGTTCCCAAAAAGGTGCTAAAAATGCAGATGATCACCATCTTCCTAAACCAAAGTAGCAAGGGGTGGAGGAGTAGAAGGTGGCAGATAGAAGTAACTCCAAGAAAGGGGTGGGATTTTTCCATTCTAGAATAGTTTTGGAGAGAAAAATCCACAATATTTAGTGATAACTACCGGTATTTGCAGGTTCTGTCTCAAGGCTTGGAGGGAGGTCTTAACAGTACTGTCTTCATTTTCAATCTCCCTCCAATCTCTGTCTTTTGGAGGGTTCTGCCTCAGTCAAGTGGATGCTCCCCTCTTACACTTCACCTCACTCATACATTGGATTCCTTCCTTTCCCTGACTGGAGAAGAGGATCAGGAGGGGAGAGAGACCAACCTCACTTCCTAAGCCTCCAGAAATGCCCTCCTCATACCCACATTTTCCTACCCACAAAAAAAGTAATAACATCCCTCATGTATGTGGGAAGATATGCACTGTCAACTATATGGGTCATTCCCCAGAGAGGGGATGGGACACCCTCTTTTTTTGCAGTATCTCTTCTCTTCCTTTTGCCATTGCCTTTTTTCTCCCAACCCCTGGTTTTGTCCTATTCTACACTTCAGATATCTATTTTGTGTTTAACTTGCTTTTTCTCATATTGAAAACATGACATTGCCCAGAAGATGGACAGATTGGTTCTCCTCAGGTACCTGGCTCTTTCTCAGTCCCCGCCCCCAACATTGGATATGCTTTCTTTGCATTCTCAGGCTTCCTCAGTGGTGTTCTATAGGAAGCAAACCAATCATAATTCTTTAGTTCTTTCTTTCAACCGGTCTGAAGAATCCCATCAGTACTCAAAAGAAATCAAAAAGTGATCAACATGACTCTTTCTAAGGGAGCTAGGATGGCAGGAGCTAGGATCAAGAACAGAAAGAAGTACTTGGGGTCTTGGGTTACTCTCCAATCCTACTGTCTCTATAGTTCATCTTAGATAACTCTAGGGCCTATGAGTAGTAGTTCTATAGCCACAATCAATGCCTCATATGGATCAGGTGAGAAAAGCAACAAATCTGGGAAAGCAAATGCAGATGGGTAAGAACTTGCCAGTACAGAATAATGTCTAACAGGCTAGCCATAGGTTCTCCTGGAGTAGTCCGCTAAACTGATGGGTGAACCCCATTTTTCCAGGCCTCTTCCAGAAATTTCCTATGTCTGTTCTGAATGCCACTCAACTCTTCTAATGAATTCCCATTCTTCTTCAAACCTTCTGTATTTTCTTAGTATCATACTGGACACTTTGATATCTGATATCCTAGAATTCCCACTAAACCAGAAGCTCTAGGGAGCTACTTGGGCCTAGATCCAACCAGAGAAACCTCTAAAAGAAAGAGCAGAGATGACAGAAGAATGGAAGCCCTCTGACTTTCACCTTAAATTCCAGTGGCTACCTTTCTTTTTTTAATTTACTGATATCACCCAGTACGTCCCATCCCTAGGTCCCTTTAAGATACTCATGTTTTCCCTGAACTTTCTCCCAACATTTTTCTTGCTTTCACTGACCTGTTTCTGTATTTTTAATCACTCAACATTTTATTTCTCCTTCTTTTGCTCTAACCTGTACCCTCTCCTGATCCAACATCCTTAAAACTCTTTCAGAGAAGGCAAAACTATGGAGGTAGTAAAAAGATCGGTGATTGCTGGGAGTGATAATACGCAGAGGGAAGGATAAATAGGGGAATGGAGGATTTTTAGGGCAAACCATTTGGTACATACTATGATACATTTGTCCAAACCCAAAGAATGCACAACACTAAGAGTGAGTCCTAATGTAAACCATGTACTTTGGGTGATAATGATGCATTGGTGTGAATTTATTAGTTATAACAAATTACCACACCCATCCCAAATGTGGGATGTTGATAGTGGAAGAGTCCATTACAGCAGGAAGAACAGGAAGAAGGTATTTAGGAAACCTTTGTTCTTTTTGTTCAATTTGGCTTTGAATCCAAAACTGCTTTCAAAATATAATTCAGGCTAGGTGCCTTGGCATGCGCCTGGAATTTCAGCTACTTGGGAAGCTGAGGCAGGCAGATTTCGTTAGTCCAGGACTTTGAAGCCAAAACAGGAATATTGCATCTCAAAAATATAAATAAATACATATCTCTTCCTAACTCAACATTAAGTGACCCTCCCCCAATCTTGTCCTGTCCTAATTACCAAATCTCTCTAACTTCTACATATGTCAAGTAGTCCAAAAATATTTCAAAATATCAAACATCAAAAAGAAATTATCTAAGCCCTCCCACAAAATAAAATTATTTTTCTCAATTAAGATTTTTCTTTCTCCTTCTAATATCCTCACAACTGAATGTTTCTTTCCAATACACACACACAAATCATCATTCTTACTGCTCACACGTATTACACCACATCCATACGCACATACACAGCGCACAAAGAGAGCAGCTTCTCAAAACCCTTGGATGCCTGGCTGGGCTGGTAACACTGTCACCAGGAGCAAGTCTTTTGATTCCTCAGCTTTCTCACCCGGAAAATGGGCCCATTGCAGCACGCTTTTATGAGTAGCTACAATATGAGCTCTTGAGATATCCTTGAGTTAACGAAACGCAATGGTAATCCTAAATTCTGCCACCCTAAGAGGACA